TCTACACCCAGACTGGGCTCATTCACATGCAGTCCTCTTCCCTTAGCCGCCCATAGTGCTGGGATTACAGGTGTGAGCCATCATGCTTGGTCTTTGCCCACTTTTAAATTTGGTTATTTTCTTTTTTTGTTGTTCACTTGTCATTCTTCTCATATTCTGTGTTGTTATGGTTTGTGTCTAGATGTCTCCCCAAAGCTTCATCTGGTCATAGGTGGAGCTCTTTCAGAAGTGGCTAGAGTGTGTGACACTTAAATTTATTCATGGTACAATGCTAAGATCAAGAGCACTAAAATTAAGGGTGTGAGTGGTCCCTTTGCTTTTTTTTACTACCTTCTGTCTGCCATAAACTCTCTCCTCTGCAATGACACCCTACCTTAGAGCCAGCCAATTATAAACCAAAACGTTTACAAATAGTGAGTTAAATAAACCTTTTCCCCTTTAACTTTGGGTGCTGAGTGTTTTGTCTCAGCAATAAGAAAAAAATAACTAAGACATGTGTATTATCCCCTTATCAGACACATAATTTGCAGATATTTTCTCTCATTCTGCTTTTTCACTGTGTTGATTGTTTCCTTTGTTTTACAGAAGTTTTTTAAGTAAGGTATAGCCCTATTGTCCATTCTTGCTTTTGTAGTGTGTGATTTTAGTGTCACATCCAAGAAATCACAGCTAAATCCAATGTTGTGATTTACCTTAATTTCTTTTAGAAATTTGATATTTTAGGTGTTATATTTCTATATTTAATTCATTTTAAATTAATTGTTGTACTTGTCTTAAGTTTAGTGCCCAACATCATTCTTTTGCACATGCATATCCACTTTTCTGAGCACTATTACTCAAAGAGACTGTTCCACACTGTGTGTGTGGTCTTAGCACCCTTGCTAAGTGACCATATACAAAAGGTTTAATTTCTGGGCTCTCCATTCTGTCCCATTGGTCCATATATCCATCTCCATGCCATTACCTTAATGTTTTATAGTATGCCATCATTTCATACTGTATTTTTGGACTACAAAGGAGATCAAACACTTGTGGAACAAATATATACCCCTCTTTTTTTTTTTTACAAGTTATCTGTTTATATCTTTTCCATTTTTCAAATTAGGATTTTTTTTTGTTGTTGCTGTTTGTGTGTTTGTTTGCGGAGTCTGTTTGTCTCATTTTGTTTTTTAAAGTACTAGGGATTAAACTCAGGGCCTTCACACTGAGCTATATTCCCAGCTCAGTTTGTTTGTTTTGAGGCAGGGTCTTGCTAAGTCATTAAACTGCCCAAGCGGGGCTCAAATTTTCAATCTTCCTGCCTCAGCCTTCTAGAGAGCTAGGGTTGCAGCCATCCACCACTATATTTGACTAGGAATTGGTGTGCTACATAACTGAACTCAAAGATTCTTTTTGTGTGTGACAAACACCTATTGATTTCTCTAATACCCTGGTTAGGAATTGCATTCTCTTATATCCATACAGCCACAGTATCACAGTGAACTTCTGACTCGTTTCTGCTCTACTCTCTAGTCAGTTGCTCCTGGTATAAGCCCAAATCCAAACTGAGTCCTTCACAGTCTTCCTCAGGGACTTGGAATGAGAATCAACACAGTCAAGTCATCCTTTCTCCACATAGGTGCAGCAGTTACAGGAAAATTGGTTGTCATTTGCTCAACTTGTGCTGTGAGAAACAAAAGTGGGTGTTACATGGAAAGGTATGTATGAACCAGAGAAGCAAAGGAAAACAACTTTAGCTCCTTTAATGCTCTAGTCTCTGGTTTTAGTAACAGAGGTCCACCCTACCCTCAGAGGATATTATCTTAAATTAGTTCAAATGGTTCACTTTTACTTGTAATAAAAAGTACTAACCAATACATATGATTAGTCATTTATCAAATAAATACAGAATGTGTGCAGGTGCCACTTCAGATGCTGGAAACTTGGGAGTCTTGAAAGATGACTCAGTTCCTTCTCTGTGGAGCTGAGTTCGAGAATCATGGAGGTGGAAAACAGAGAAACAAGTACATACATGTGTCAATGGGGATCAGTGCCTTGGAGCAAAATAAAGCAAGAGTCAGAAAAGAGGCAGCTCTGACCTGAAAATCTGAAGCAAATGAGGAGGAGAGCCCTGAGGCTGAGGCAACAGCAAAGCAAAGGCCAGAGCGTGGGAGTTAAAGTAACAAAGGCCAGTGCAGCTGGAGTGGAAAAAGAAAAGTGCAGAGGTCAGAGAGGTGGCCCTAGGGTACAGAGGCACTGGGAAGCCTCTGGCTTCTGCTTGGCGTCTGATGGAAGTCATTGATGTGACAGAGAAAAGAGAGTCTGCTGGGTGGAGGAAGATCACTCTGTCTGCTTCTCTTTGTCATACATGATTTTTTTTTTGTTTTTGTTTTTGGTACCAGGGATCGAACTCAGGTCCTTGCGCTTGCAATGCAAGCGGTGGAGCCACTGAGCTAAATCCCCAGCCCTGTCATACATGTTGAAATGCTTTTCAGTTCTGCCTTTATCTAATTTGGGATAATGGTGATTTTTGATTTACACAGACAGGACCCTGCTGTGCCTGTGCAGGCTTAAGGAATCTCCAAGGCTTCCCCTGCAATTGCGCAATTCAAGCCTGTGAAAGAGTTCAAAATGATCTTTCCTTGTATGATCTCTTTCTTTATGCTTAGAATATTCTTCTCTATGAATTTCAATTTTTATTAGTACATGTTTGCATTCCTTGTTTTTCAAATAAAACTATGGAATTTATGATTATATGGAAATTTTGAAGACAAAACACTGGAAATAATGTAGATTTTGTTGTTATTTTCCATAAGAATAATTTTTTAAAATATCAGTTGAATAATCTTTCCTTTCGTAGTTGGTTTGTGACATGTCTCTCAAATACTGTACATGAATAGAGACAGACAGACTTTCAGGTTATGTTATATTCTATTGCACTAATTCTTTTTATTTTTAATGTCAATGCCACAAAATTGTAAAACTAAGGGCAGGACTTTTGGATGAACTCTGTGCTGTATTTTAAAATAAAATAAATCAAGAGAAGTCTGAGATAGACATGGCAGTACTCTAGGAGGCAGAAGCAGGAAGATAACAAGCCTGATGCCAGACTGGGCAATTTAGTGACTTAGAGACACCCTGTCTTACTGTGTGTGTGTGTGTGTGTGTGTGTGTGTGTGTGTGTGTGTGGTACCGGGGATCGAACTCGGGTCCTTGCACCTGCAAAGCAGGTGGCAGGACCACTGAGCTAAATCCCTGGCCCTGAGACCCTGTCTTAAAATAAAAAAATAAAAATGGCTGAGAAAAAAAAGCAAAAAAAAAAAGAGAGAGAGAGAAAGGACCAAAGATGTAGCTCAATGCAAAGGCCCACAGTACTGAAAAAAAAAAGTCTTGATTTTTCTCATCAGTCTGTTCTTCAAACTGAATTTTAGAATTATGTCCTCAACTTCCAATAATAAGACAAAATTTCACTGGGACTTTCATTGAAATTGCCTTAATCTTAGAAATTAATTTGAGAATGTTTTATTCATCCTTTTAAACAGTGTTTTCTAACAACATAATCTGTTTCTTCATTTATTTCAATCTTAAATTTTTGCAATTCAGATCCTATACATTCTAGATTATTTTATGCTTTTCTGCTGCTAGTATGAACATAATTCTTACACCTTTTAAATTACTAGTCAGTAATTGCTCATCTGTTAGAAAACTAACCATAACTCTGGATATTTTATTAACTCTTAACTTGGAGGGTTATTAACTCTTTAAATATATTCATTAAACATTTCCTAGTAATGAAACTTTCCAGGGGCTGGGGATTTAGCTCAGTGATTCCGCTGTCTGCCTCACAAGGGCAAGGACCCAAGTTCGATCCCTGGTACCAAAAAAATAAAAATAAATTTTAAAAAATAAAACTTTCCATAAGAAAGTCTTCCTCATTTCATTTAGTTATTGTGTCTTGGTCTTAAAACACTAACAACTGAGATTTTTCCTTGAGAAGTCTAAATCTCTTATTTAAGTTTTCTTTCTGCAACTAAAGGCATAGCTCAGTGGTAGAACATGTGCTTAGAATGCCCAAAGCCATGAAGTTCAATCCCCAGCATCCCCTCTCCCCCAAAAACACATTTTTTTTTTTTCTTACATGGATTTAGCAGATATCTAGGTGGGATTCTCATCCTAAAGTCTTTTTTCAATTTAAATTATTAAGACTTCTTCAATATTTATTACTAATTTATAACCAAATAACAAATGCATAAGTACATCTTCCTTATAAAAATTAAATATTATAAGTAAAATCAAAGTCCCTGTTTGTCTTTATTCCTTATCCAAAGGAATCAGTTTACTGTGTATCCCAGTGTATTTACTCTCAGAAAAAATGGAGCTGGACAAATTTAGTTTTATTTTCTGCTTTTTGATACATAAATCTTGCCAAACTATACACAATTTTGCCATTTGCTTTTGTTATTCAACTAGATAACACAGACAGCTATTCATTTGAGTACTTAATAGTGTCCATTAGAATTTCCTTTTTCTTGTCATTCAGTTCCACAATGTGAGTACTTAAGTTATTAGCCTTCTTCCATTAATGGATATTTAGGTTGTTTTTTAGTTTTAGTGACTATATACGTGATTACAGTATTTATTTATGTACCTACTGCTTAGGATTGATGGTAACTGATGAAACAGACGTTCTGATTTTTCATTAGATTCCTAACCTATTTTCATGGTCTTGAACTCTGAATTTTTATTCTCTTTTGTACTCTCACATGGTAAAGCAATGCTGAGTCCTGGAGTAGGACTTCCAGACTTGAACTGGTTAACTCACAGACCTGCGGTTGTTTTCTTTAATGGGCTGGGTGATTCCTGGAAACATGCAAGCAAGCTGCTGCTGTTTGTTTTCTACCCTGTGCCGTTTGACTTGGAGCATTTCTGAAGTCTCTCAGTTCCTGTACATCTAAATGAATGACTGTTTCTGGATACAGGTTGGTTGGTGGTTTTTAAAACCTGGACATAAGCCTCTGTTTTTGGAGGACTCAGTTCTATGTAGTTGGTTAAACCATACAAGGGAGCCTTATGTAAGACATCGTTCATGACACATCTCAAATGGGCCATGGGAGAGAAGCAATTTCACTGCAACTCACTAGTTATTACCAGAAAACTTGAGTCTAAGATGAAGTTAGTGAGAGAAACATCAGACCTATTCATTTTTCATAGTTTAAATTCTCCTGTCCAATAGCTCAGTAATACAATTTACCCTAAAATGCCCCTTGCCTCCCTGGGAGGACCCTTCCTTTGCTCATTTCTGTGTCCAGTGCTATGTGCATTGTTACATACCTACCACCTCAGACAAAGCATAGGGCAGCCTATACGCTTGGACTTATGAGACACAATGACGGAAGAGAAAGATTCTAAGGTATCTTTGTTTAATATAGAGTAAATTACAACCAAACAAAACCTTGTACTTTGACATCAGATAGTACTAGGTTCAAATACTAGGTTTATTTATTCTTAGTAAGCAAACAATCCTAAAACCCCAAGCCAGTTACTTATTCAAGAATCAGTTTTCAAATCTATAAAATGGTACTATGGTTTGAATGTGTCCCTCAAAGTTCATGTGTCTTACACTTTGTCCCCGGTGCAACAGTGATGCCAGGTATGATATTTAAGAAGTCACTGGGTCATGAGTTCTGTGCCCTCATGAAGTGATTAATGCCAGTGTCAAGACAGTGGGCTGGTTATCATGGGGTGGATTCCTGATAACAGATAAGTTCTTTCCCCTTCTTTTCTCCCCTACTCCATTGTGAACATGCTCTCTTGCCACTGAATGACACAACAGACTACCCCTGCCAGATGCGCCCTCTCTAACCTTGGACTTCCAGCCTCCAAAAGTGTAAATATTAATAAATCTAAAGTTGAGTGGTACATGCCAGTAATCCTAGCACTTTGGGAAGCTCCCAAGTTTGAGCAGCTTAGTGACTTCTGAGGCTCCATTTCAAAATTTAAAAAAAAGGCTGCAGGTGTAGCTCAGTGCAAAGGCCCTAGGTTCAATCCCTGATCTGAAAAAAAAAAAAAAATCCTCTGCTTTTTATAATTATCCAGTGTCAGGAATTATGTTATAGCAATATGAAATGGACTAAGAGAAATTTAGTACTAGGAAGTAGACTATTGTTATAAAAAATTCCTGAAAATGTGGACATATGTTTGGAACTGGACAACAGGCAGATGCTGGGAATAATTTGTAGGATCAGGCTAGAAAAGGCCTAGATTTCCATAAGAAGAGTATTAAGGGTAATTTTGGTGAGTGCTCAAAGAAAGAGAAGAATTTTTGGAAATGTCTGAAACTCTGTAGATATTACTTAGATGGTCATGATTATCAGAATGTTGGTAGGAGCCTGTAATCTCATAGCGCTCAGGAGCCGAGGAAGGAGAATCAGTGTGAATTCAAGGCCAATCTGGGCTACATAATGAGTTCAAATCCAGCCTGTGTACATATCAAGATCCTGTCTCAAAAAACCAAAACCAAAAAAAAAAAAAACAAAAAGGCCAGTGATTTAGCTCCATGGCACTATGCTTGCCTCATAAGCACAAAGTCCCTAGTTCAATCCCCCGTACCAAAAACAAACCCAAACAAACAAACAAAAAGCCAAAAAAAGAGCCGGGTGTGGTGGCTCATGCCTGTAATCCCAGCACTTGGGAGGCAGAGGCAGGAGGATCGCCATTAATTTGAGGCCAGCCTGAGCTACATAGTGAGTTCAGGGCCAGCCTGAACTATAAAGTGAGACCCTGTCTCAACCCCCTCCCCAAAAAGCCTCCCAAAATGTTGGTAAACAGATAGATGACAAAGGCAATTCTGAAGAGGTCTCAGGTACAAAAAAGGAACAAGGCACTGACAAAAGGAATAAAGGCCATGCTTATGTAGTTGCAAAGAATATGGCAGAGCTCTATCTGTGTCCTAGGACTCTAGGGAAGGTGGAATTTAAGAGCAATGGGCTAGGATACTAGACAGAAGAAACATCTAAGTGGCAAAACATTAGACAAATGGTACACCAACACATACTTCACATAGGCTGGCATGACTGTGTGATGATATCAGTGGCAGGTATAACCCTTACCATAAGAATTTGAGTCCCACCAGTGATATACTTGTCTCTGCATTGCTTTAGGAAAACTTCCCATGTGATTCTTCTAAGATTCTATAAGAACTTGAATTCTCAAGGAATGAGTCAGTTAGATTTTTCATACTTCAAGGACTAATGCAGAAAAATACATCAGAGATTTTAAAGTTTTTAATAACAAGCCTAGGAGGAAAGCCTTACTTGGTAACTTTTCGAAATATTCCACTCTTGTCTCTTCATTCATCTGACAAATATTTACTGAAAACCTATTACGTGTGGCTGTGCTATGTGGATATTATGAGCCATGAATTAGCAAAGTACATTTTGTAGGACAAATCCAGCCTCCTGCTATTTTTATAAATAAAGTTTTATCAGAACATGCCCATTTGTTAATGTTTTATGGTTGTGACAGAAGCCATCTGTGGCCTGAGTACCTTAACACATTTACTATCTTGCCCTTTATAGAAAAAGTTTGCTGATTCCTGTAAGAAGATATGTATATATATATATATATTCCTGTAAGAAGACAGGAAACCATATATATATGTTTTTTAAGGGAGGAGAGTATTAGACATATAAACAAAATTGAATGTCAAGGCAAGTTTATGTATGATTATTAGTCCAAGGTACTCGAGTAATCAAGAATCGATGATTGTGTGCTGGAATGTTTAAAAGAGTGAATACAAAATGTGAGGCTTAAATCTGCAGAGTGGAGAAGATCTGTATAGAGTGAGAAGAAAAAGACTGACAGGAACAGTAATGATGTATGGGACGGGGCGTGACATTCTCTAGATGGCCACCAAATCTCATCATAGCACTGCTGCTCCACACCAGTCCAGCCTGAACTCCTTTAACCTGGATAAGGAGGCCTTCGCTATCTAGCCTTGCTTCCCTCTTCAGCCTTTTCTCTTGCATTTGCTCTAACACACACATGCATACACATACACTGCATTTGATCTAACACACACTCATACACACACTGTATTCCATGTTCCTTGTGTTTTCAGTTACTCAAATCTATCATATTCTCATCCAGACTATTGACTACACTGTTTTCCTGTCTGTTACATATTTTCTTCAATTTGTTACCTAACTTCTCCTCAACCTATGTCACTTGATCATTCAGGTACTCGATTTGTCACTTTCTCTGAGTGACATTCTTTTACTTCTCCAAGGCTGCATTACACACGGTTCTGTGGGCTTCTGTCACAGCGAGTGTTTTGTCACATCTAATCCTCCTTTTGTTGTTGCCATGGTCAATCTCTTTGCCTACATCCTTGATGAAACAAGAAGCTTTTTGAATTCAGAAATGATGACCCAACTCTTATCACAGCACTGTCACACAAAGCCATCTAATACTTTCTTGACTGCGCGAATAGAGTAAAGTGCAAGAAAGGATGTGATGTCCTTTAATATAGTAATATGGCCAATTTGTCCAAGCAGAAATTTTATATTGGGGAGTTGTAGGATCAACAAATAAATTCATTCCATATTGTAGAAGCTTTTAAATACTGAAATTAAGAGATTCACCTTCATCCTGTGATCAGTGAAGAACTATGGAAAGGTTTAACTCCACCAAATGACATGACTAAAATGTTTAATTGGGAGTATTAATTTTTCAGTAGAGTAATTGATAGAGCATATGACTCAGCGATAGCATATAGGAGATTAGACTTCAGTTTCTTCTAACATCAGAGGAAAACCCCTGAGGATGAGTTGATAATTGTGGCTCTTAAGAACATTTAAGATTCTTCAAGCTTCTTACTGGTGAGAAATTAGTCTTATTCTTATTTCTATCCATCCTAGCTGATATATGTCTTACATTTTACTGAGTCCCATAATAGTCACTGAGTGGATGGATGAGGTAGACTGAAAAGGACGGGTGCGCAGGCTTTGGAAAGGAAGATTTGAAAAGACTTGACTTGTTTGGTGCCTCTGGAAAGGTGGAAAATGGTCCTGTTGCTAGGACTGGGGAGTCATGAGGAGGATCCAACTCAGAGTACACATTTTCAGCTTATCTTTTTCCTTGAAGCAGTGGATGAAAAGCAATTTGTTATCACAATACCCTTTTGCCCAAGAAACAATTCATATTGTCCCTCCTCTCCCTGACATATATAGTGGCCAGAAGAGAGTTTTGAGATGGGGGAATGAGTCACCAGTCGTAAAGCCAGGGGACTTTCCTAACAATGGAAGCCTAGCAGCCTCCAAGGCTGAAAACTCACTGCTCTGAAGAGCAAAACAAAGGGCATTGTGACACTCTGGGCCCCTTACTTGTGCTTCAACTCCTCACCTAGTTGAAGGAGATGAAATTCTAATCACCTGTCCTTTAGGTAAATGGAAATAGTAAAAGAAAATAAAAACCATGCTGTTCCTAATAGAATCCTTAGTTTCACTGTTTTTGAGAAAAAAGCATCTTGAGTAAAGAAGTGAAATGTGTTGAAGATGGTTAAATTCCTCTAAAAAGAAGGGGTTCAAATAAAGCCTAGTGAGCTATGTAATCCAAGTTAGAGTTAAGTAAATGGCAATTACCCTCTATACAGCTTTAATCTGAGATTTTTTCCTTCTTTTTTTAAGCATAAAAAAATTGACTATCGCATGTATTTGGCCTAGGGTCTGTGGAGGTTGTGTGGCTTTTGTGAACCACATGCTGCCCACTCAGACTGCCTGCAGGAACTGCGAAAAAGTCTTTCCCAAAGCAAGTCATGGTGATACACACCTGTAATCCCAACACTCTAGGAGGCTAAGGCAGCAGGATTGTAAATTTGAGACAGCCTGGGCACATTAGCTACTTTGTGAGAGCCTGCCTCAAAATAAAAAAATAAAAAGGGTTGGGGAAGTAGTTAAGTGTGAAAGCCCTGGGTTCAAAAGCCCCCATACAAAAAAATAGAAGAAGAAGGAGGAGAAGAAGAAGGGAGAGGGAGGAGGAGGAAGAGAAGGAGTAAAAGAAAGGAGGAGGAGGAGGAAGAGGAGGAAGAAGGCCTTTCAAACGAACTTGCCAGGCCACTCTCCTATCCACAGACTTACGGCTGTGATTGTTCATTCAGTATGCATAGAGGTTAACTTCTTGGTTTTTTTGTTTTCTTTATGTTTTATGGATGTCTCACTATATGTAGCCCAGGCTAACCTTAAACTTGTGGTGTTTTTTTCTGCCTCAGCTTCTTGAGTGTTGGGATTACAGGCATGCATCACCATGCCCAATAGGCTTACTTCTTGCACAGCATGGTGCTGTCTTCAGGAGGTAGGAGGGAAAGATAAACGCTACTATAGATCAAATATTCCCAAATTCTATTCTGACCCACAAAGTGTATTACCTGAGAAGGCAAAGAGCATAACATTTTAACCAAACATATGAGGTGCCTCCAAAATATTACACTATCATTTTTCCATGTGTTGGAAAATCAAGAAATGATTCAAGTTTGTGGGGCAGTAGCAAAGCCATTATGGAGGAGAGAGCTGAGCTGTATTCTTCTTGTTATTATGCAAACCTGGAATAAGTCTTAGCTAAAAAGATTCTCATTGAGTCACCAGGAGATAAAAGCAATTAAGAAATAGATTTCCAGGCTTGTACAACCAACACTTGGTGTGTAGACTTCCTCTGAATGGCCAATTCTGATATTGCACTGTGGCTTCAGCTTACCAATGTAACCTCTACTGTTTTGTTTGTTTGTTTTTTGTTTTTGAGACAGGGTCTCACCATGTAGTCCAGGCTGGCCTTAAACTCACTAGATAGCCCAGGCTGGCCTCAAACTCACAGCAATCCTCCTGCCTCAGCCTCCCAAATTCTGGGAATACAGGCGTGCACCACCATGACCAGCTTTCCTTTACTGGTCTAAGACTTTAAACTTACTGAACTATGTTAGAACTGGTGTGGGTTTTTTATTTTTATTGTGAATGATTAATTAAGTATCTGGATAACTAGCCAGCAAATGCAAGCCAGTGCATCTTAGAATTCTGGACTTTCAAGATGCTTCAACAAAAATCCAGTAGAAAACTGAACATGCTGGACCTGATGGGTAGCCTCAGTGCTGAGACTCTAAAATCAGATAGGGAGTTCAAAGGCTGCCACTTCTCTCCTGTGCAGGGCCCGTCAGGGAGGAAGCACACTGAGGCGGAATGTGGGGAATGCTCCTAGCCCCTCCTCACACAGGGGAAAGACACATTCAGGTAAAAAACTGCAAGGTTGCTTATCTCCTACTCTAATCTAGAAGTCATGAGAAATTAAAACTCTGGTGCAAGCTTGCTGACATCATGGTTGCTGTAGGTGCAAGGGAGAGCAATTAAGACCTGCCACTTGAAACGTAGGACAGCTGTCTAAAAGTAGGAAGAAAAGGCTTCCAGTATGCATCTACGCCTTGTGGTCTGAAGCAGGAAGAGTGATTGGAGTGGTTTTAGATGCAAAAATACTTCCTCAAGGACAGGCACCACCAGGCATTTTGCTCACATATGAACTCCTTCTGATTTCTTAGTCTTCTCAGCCTGTGCAATCTCCTTATCTTGAGCAGGTTGCTTCTAAATTATACAGTAAGACAATACTAAAGAGGTGCCACTTCCATTACTACCTTACAAAAGTTGGTAGCTTCCCTGCTAGAAACCTTCTTGGCCTGAGTGCTTCAATGAAGCAGGCTGTGATGTTGGAAAAGCTCGCATGGCAAGGAGCTGAGGGTGTCCTCCAGAGGAGCTGAGGTTCAACAATCCACAAGGAATTCTGCAATCCACCAGAGGAGTTTGGGAGTGGACTCTTCCCCAGTTGGCCTCTGATGAGATCCCAGCACCAATCCCAGCCACATAACAGACACCAAGGCAAAGGACTCTAAACAAGGCCATGCCCAGATATTTGGCCCTCACACATTAAGAGATAACCAATGTGTATAGTTTTAAGTCTGTCAGGTTTGACCTGGTTGTGAACTGGTTAACGAATATGCTCTTTAATCTCAGCTACAGCTGACAAAAAAACACAACAATACAGGCAGACGATGCAGGTACTGTCTCCGCCCGACAAAAGACATGCCATCTTGGAGCAGAGAGAACACAGAACACAGGACGGGGTGTTCCCAACAAAGAGATAACAATTACAAAGTATAGCATCTTTCCAATGTCAAGTGACCTGAAAATATCCATACATCTGCTTGATCACTGCATGGACCTCGACCACAAATATTTGTTCTGACCCTTATATGTGCCAGCCCTCTCTTCCAATGCCCTATATAGCTTCCTGCCTTTTCTTTGTTCAGTGCTGATCATCTCTTGCTTTCTGTGAGCCCACTGCTACCCAGGTGAATAAAGCCTGTACCTCTTTGCTCTCACTAACCTGCATGGGTGGTCTCATTACTTGCTGTTTGTTACAAAGTCCCTAAATTTTGGGGTTAATTTGTTACACAGCAATAAATAACACAATAAACAAATGAATATGTCCACAAATGGATGAAAGAAACTGAAGGCCTCACCAAAAGAAGGGGGACTTGAGACTGGAGAAAGCAAGCAAAGGTTTTAGGACAAATACAATCGTTAATCCTTTGTGTCTGAAGATGTTTCTCCCAGCTACAGAATCTAGAAGTATGGTTGAGAGGAAAACTCCTCTCAGAGTTTTAGGAATCAACTTTATCAGGTCACTGGACATTTTATATTTCTGGGCACAATTATATTTCATGAGAATTTGTTTTTGTAGATGAATATCAAAGGTATATCCTTTTTTTTTTTTTTTTTTTTGT